ACTGGAACACATTTGAAGTCGACGTGACATTTCGATGCAATTCAAAGCTGGCTTATATTACGCCACTATGCAATCAGTTCTATTTTACGTCTACGAGACCTCGAGATAACGCGTAAAAGCATCGATCGATTAGAGGCCTTCCATCTCATAGAGCTAATTGATTCATATCGGCTGTACAACCATGTGAAAGAGCGTACCAAATTCGGAAAATTGCAATCACCATTCATACATGATTTAGTGTTGACAAACGAAGAGTTGATGCTAGAATCCATCGCTATTACGACCCCTCTGGGACACAGTGATCATGCTGTATTGTTGTTCAAGTAGATTCGCTACGCTTCTCTTCCAAGTAACTGACTCAAAAAACATTCACACATTCATAAACTATGCAAATTTGCAGAGCTTGGCTCCTTCCACTCAATGGATATCGCATAAGGAAGAGCACAACCCTTTAGTCGAATGGCAGGAATGTATTGACAGTCTGCAACAACTACTAGCGTCAATGACGCAAGTAAACGTTGTTACCGAACCCAACAGCCGGAAATCACCTATTCGAAGCCGTACAAAAATTGAATATTTCTGAGGGACCTCTCTTGGAGAGAGTATAAACGACTTCCGAATGCATGCACCTGGAATAATTACCGACTTCTGCGAAACCACTGCACCAAGTTGGTACGCGAAGATAAACTAAACCATCAAGAATCTCTAGCACAGAGATTTATTTCAAATCCCAAGCTTTTGTACAAACATGTTAACTCATCTCGAAAAGTTAAATATGGAATACTGGTGCTCAGTTCTTCTGGAAGAGTCACAGTCAAAACAATGGAAGCCGCTGAAATACTGAAGAACCAATGTGCCCAAGATGTCGTTGCATCAACTAATGGAGGACTGTCCCCTCGCTGGATGTATCATATCCTTTACTAACCACCGTATAATGCGCCGTCGAAAGGGTTAAGGAAAAGCTATTGACTTTAAGGAAGAATTCATCGCCAGGTGCAGACAATATTCATCCCAAACTCTTATCCGCTTGGCGAATCAGATATCCGAGCCACTAGCCTTCCTATTCCAGAGGATATTCTATCACACTGCAATCCTACCGTCATAGAAGTACGAAATAATTTCACCCATTTACAAAGGCGGTTGACGTAGCGATCCCGCCAACTACCGTCCTGTAACGCTCCTTCCAGTGGTGTACAAAGTCATGGAGTCCATATCAGCAGGTTCCCTGATGGAACACCTAGAGAAGCACAACACTGTCACCAAATCAATATGGATTCCGACAGAAGCGATCCCGCGCTACCAATCGGCTCATCGCAGAAGCATGGACAAAAGCAGTTGATGACGGCGATGTGGTAGACGTTATTTATCTGGAATTATCAAAAGCGCTCAATCGGGTGAACTACGAGATTCTACTGTGAAAACTCTATAATCAAGATATTCGGGGCCTCATGCTTGATTGGATCGAAGCATTTCGCCGCCAACGGATCGTATCGATTAGTGTTTCTGATTTGCTTTCCAGTTACCCGGGGGGTTCCACAAGGATCTGTGCTTGGCCAGTGACTTTTACTAACATTCGTAAACGACCTACCGAAACTCTGGGGCCAAAATCAATATTGTTTTCGAATGACGCCAAAACTTGACGCAACCAGCGGGATCGCTGGCAATCTAGGAAACACTGGAAGCAGCTAAACTTTGGTCTCTTGTGAATGACATTGAATTCAATGTGCCAAAGTGTAAGGTTCTGTCTCTACGACACAAGAGGTAATTTTCGTATTTCCCCGAAAATAAACAACTGCCACACGTCCCAAGTGAGAAGGACCTGGGCATCATCATTTAAGAAGACTTAAGCTGTTTACTCATCTACTCCAAGGTGTCGAACGCAGCTGTAAAGGTCGGTGTGTGTCATAGGCCGATTAGAGTCAGCTCTTTCCCCCGTCTACCATCAGAATATATTTGCCCACCCAACTAATACGCAATTCAGGCATGGAACCCATGGCTACAACGTGATTGCAAAATGCTTGAGCGTACACAAAAGATGACCACCAAAATGGTTAAGGGAGTGAATTGTTATACATGCGCAGAGAGACTGGAGTCGTTGGGGTTATATTCCAATCACTACCAGCGCATCAGAGGAGACATGATTATGGTATACCAAATAATGCAGAACCCAAGCCATCCGTGTCGCCCGTTGCTAAAATCATCACCCAACGTTCATCTAAGAGGACATTCGTTCAAACTAGTGGTCTCAAAATGCCGGTGTCAGTCATGCGCAGTCAGAGTGTGTTCGGTCTGGAACTCTCTCCCACCCCACGTCGTTTGTGCGCCAAGCGTTGGATCTTCCCAACTGACTTGATTAGCACGCCTTACATTCCAACAAAAGTGAAGCTGCGTATAACAGAGGAAGAAGCCCGTATCATGTAACATTCTTACACGTGGAGTTGTGTGCATCACTGTCTTTTAACCACAACACGAAACTATGGGACGAGAAAAGCATGAGCTTGTAAGTTATTCCCATAATAAAAGTTTGAACTTTGTCGGTGTTTAGTTAGTTTGGTTGGGGTAACATGAAGCAGGTGGATTAGTGGCGCCGAGATAAACATTTGTGTATGAGTGTGCCTTGCTGCAAATTTTTTGGCTCTTCAAATTCAGACTAGTCGGCTTCGTTGGTTAGGACACTTATTGCGCATGCCCATCCGTTGTCTGTCACATCACGCCTTATTCTCTGTTGCTACTGTAGGACGGAAGAAATCACGAGGTGGTCAACAGTNGTCAACAGTTGACGCGGAAATGAGACATGGCGAAATGCAATTTGGGTGGAATGTGCCTTTCCTCTTCTACATTGGGGTCCGAAAGACCATGTAGTTGGTGTGTTAGAGACATCACAAGAAGTGGCAGCGAACCAACAACAGTGGGGTTCTTATTGTCACTTCTTATCCGGTCAGAATGCTTTCAGCAATCAGTCCGCACGAATAGAATGTGCTGATCATCAATGTTCATTTTCTTCTCCCGTTCTAGGAACAAACCCATATCCTATCCGTTTTACGCACTGATACTTTACATAAATTGTGAATTTAGCAGTGATCAATGAAGTCCGCTGTATGAGCTGACGTTGCACTAGGAGCGACTAATCTGTCGGATTGGGACCACTTTGATGACTGCCGCTAGCTGACTGCAAATTCCGATCGTATCAGAACGACTCAATTAAATCATTCGAGTATTTGGTTTTGGGGTATGTAGNNGTAGGTCGCAATTGCGATTGACCCCATCAGAAGTCAGTTGCATTGGTGCTTTAGGTTGTAACTGGCTGGGTATGACAGACGGGGTTATGTTTGCCTCAAATGACCTAGTAAAATCTAACAGCACTAGACCACGTGACCGTCAGGTTAATTTTTCGTCCTCGTTTTGACAGCAAGTAGTTTCTGAACAAGCAGAGGAAAATCCCCTGAAAAATACTACCGACTATCGGGTACATGCATCCGGTAATCGATTCATTTACGTACTTGTATCCCTGAAGTGTATCTTGACAAATGTTTACCTCGCCAACCAGAGAGAAGTTTACTGTACAAGTACCTCATTGGACATCCGAGAGCAAATCCGCCGTGAGTTTAGGCAATCATTGTCAACTGCCTGAAAATGAAGCAAGCAGCATTACAAATGTTATTTAGGTGCGGTCGGTATATGGTTGGATGGAGCCATCAGTGACGATGGGCGTGTGTTTGGATTATGCGAGCAGTTTAACGGTACTGAGCCCACCTTGAGGGCGTAACCTCTTTTACGCGCCGAAATGAACTTTGTCAGTCCAGAGTTCCATCCCGTGGACAAGTTGACAATCTACCCAATTCAATCAACAACGTTCAATGAAGTACGCAAAAACGACATTGCTTAGTGTTTTTGAGTCGATCAAAACTGGTAAGTTTGTTTCTCATCAAAATCCCCATACTATTCTGTTTGGAAAATATGATCAAAGTTCGGGTGGACCGGTATGTGTTATTGTCGTCACAAATGTGTCCAATTATCTATCTACCTATCTACTGAATAATATTAAGTTATTTATCATGTCAATGTTTACTAACAGGCCTTGGGATTACTGCATGCACTAAATCGCTGCATTATCAATATAAACTACCATACGGGTGAATAATTCGATTAATTTCGTATTCAAATCTAGACTAGAACCAAGAACCACTGAGTTGCGTGCCGAACTCGTCGCGTTTGTGCTTCAAACACCACACACTTCCACGCCATTTGAAGTCTCTGGGGAATGGGGATCGATTTGAACGAAACATGATAACATTAATGGAATGTGTAAACTCATACACACAAGCAGGCTGATTGAAAATTGGCGACTAGCTGAAATGGAGTACGGTTGAATGGTAACGCCAACAAATTAACACCCCGAAGGACGTGCTTTCGAATCCGACCACCATCGCCTGACTTTACTCATTTTGTGTTGTATGGCAGTCCCTTGATTGACCACTTTCCTCTTCCTAAAAATTCTATCATTGCGTGTTCAATAAAAGGAAGTGAAAATGAAAAAATGCATTTTTTTGTGGAAAATCGAGATCGGGGAAGTTATCTGATTTTGACCATTTCTTTGCATTATCTATCCGAATTCACATACCTTATTATTATTATTATCCAACTAGGCACGATCAAAACGATCCAGGGAGCACTTCTCTGAAAATTTGAAACAGGAGCATCTTTATTCTTCAGTTTCGGAAAACTGAATCACATCATCGTTGGTATCGCATCAAACCGCAATGCGCCCGTCAAAATATCAAACTAAGCAACCAACCATGAGTTTCAAACACCAGTTCGATGCACTGTTGACAAACAATACGACTCAGTTAACACTGCCCGTGTGAGAACGATTGAACTGGGAAGAACGAGGCCATCACGTGCTGCTGGTTTATTGGCTTGTCTTTGAAGGTCACAATCGATCGGATCGTTCTAGCTCACAGTTCTATCATACAGTGCGGCACAGTTTATTCAGATACATAATGAAGCCAAATGGGCATCATACAATCGTTCTACGATCAAGTCTCCTAAAACGGCTTCGTGATCTGTCTGGTCGCATCCCGATGGTGAACGATGTATTTGATACCAGCGTGTTGCAACCATTCTATCAAGATTTGTGGCATAAAGTCTACATGGATGTGGATCTACGGAACAAAGCGGTGGAAGGGATTTTCCTCTACGATCCACGCTATCCCGGTCGAATGGACTCGTTGGTGGACGAGGCGAAATCCAACAAGATCTATTGTCAGTCTCAATTCGTCGAAATTTGTCGACGATTGGGTATAGTCCCACTGGAATTTATGTGTCTACATCAGAGTACGTTTTTGCGTGTATCTAACAACCGAATGAGAATGTCCTATTGTCTCTATCGTCGACTGTTTATGGACGAACTGATTGGAACTTTGGAGAAAACATTTCCATTTACGACAGGCCTCCTAAAACCGATTTTATACATGTCACTGACTGGACTGCTAGTGTGTTCTCATCCGGACACAGATGAGGCTCTTTGGAATAGTATCTTTGTGCCCATTGAGATGCACGTGAAACTGAAGTCAGCTTGTATGAAACCGCTGAATCCGTTAACTATGAACTGCACCGTGAGAGAAAGATTTTCCGTGCTTAAAGTATACGACTCCGACTCAGTTACTGAGACTATGATCCCTGCGGTTGGCTTATTTCATCCGAGTGAAGGTGTGCACAAAATCGATCCGAGCTAGTCAAATTACGAAGCGGTGTTTGCTTGAACCCGTACTAACTTTTGATGTGGACTGGAACGAAACGGAAACTGCACCATGATCCAAAGCCCACGACGTTGTGATACATAACTATTAATCATGCGAATTTCACCTTTTCATTGATAACGAATGCACAATCTCTGTGGTAGGACAAGAAACGGACCGGATGTAGATCAGTCGGGCGGATTGAGAGTAATTCCATGAGGAATAACAACGGATCGTGATATAACTCTCATCCACAGTCATAATCAGCAATGCAAACTAAGGATAACTTGGTGACGGTGAATTACAACTGAAACCGACTGCTATTGTTGCCGTAATAAACCTCGAAATGAACAGCTCGATGTGGAGTCAAAATGTTTTGTTCATTTGTGAGCTATTACAGTCAAAAACCTCAAGTAGGCTTCTCATCAGAACACTGATCATTTGCCAGTAAGAAGGAAACAGAGAGAGAAAAATTAACTTTCCCAGTCTTGACACTAGTTTCCCGTCCAAGCACTGTCACAAGAGATGTAAACAAGTAACGCCATACAATAGATTTGCCATTAATGTTGACAGCTTTCAAAAGAAAGAAAAAATACATTGTTCGTCATGTCACGTAGAAAAATAAGATTCTGAAAAATAGGGGATCAATGGTGAGGGGGGTCTAAAATTTGGGCAACACTGATTGAGGAGTAGAAGAGTTGCAGAATGAAGACACAGTACACTTTGCGTCCGTGCATTTGAACAGATGTGGTCACATGATAGACTCTACAGTTCGGAATGAATCTGGGCACTTTCAACATGCACGTCGTCATCCACATCAGCACCACATTTCTCCACTTGGGTAATCAAGTTGGAAAATGCTTTCCAAATTATATTATTCTGGATACACATTGTTCCACCACCACGATGAAATTGAGAGTACTGTGACAAGAAAGAGAAAATTATTCATGGAATGAATAAGAAATGGAAATTCATAAGACTTACCATGCGATTTATATCACCTAGACATATCCACATCTTGCCTTCTTCATTCGCAGACTCTTTGGGAATAGTCGAGGCCCATTTGGAATGATCTTGAAAACTACTGAATGTGACAGCCAGCTCTTTGAAATGTATAAATTGAACATTTACAACCTTTAGGGACACACAGAGAGAGGGAGAGAGAGAGAGATAATCAGCCGTCAGCATTGAGTTCCATTGAACAGTTTACAGGAACCATTAGCCTGGTGACATTCTCGCGTTGTGCCAGGCGAGGGAGCGATTGAAGTTGGGAATTACGATCGAAGAGGTGAAAACACCTCAAAGGATACAACAGTCTACATGCTCGGATGTTTTACTTCAATCACATCCCCGAAACTGTCAGCCAGCAAACTGTTGGAATCAAAAGAAGTGTTTACTTCTACATAGCAAAAGATGTTGGGTATTAGAAAATTTCACAGATTATAGCTACATTGCAGCGTTTATATTTTTCAGTTCAGGGAGAACATCACAGTATCCTCAGCTTCCAAACTTTTCC